ACCAGTTCATGGATTTAGTGGGACTGAGATGTGGGCATTCACTTTGCACTCACATATGTTGACTGCTTTGTCTGCAACAACCTAGGTACCTCAAGACATGGAGATCAACTTGCTCCTCAATGCCACATTCCAAGCTATTTCATCTTCAAAAACCTCAGACTGAAGAATCAAGCCTTTTCTCTTATCCACTGCAGCCATCTACTCAACACCTTCCAATACCCCACACCCTGCTTCTTGAATTGGTGCATTTAGCATTTGGATCACTGGCTTTCTGTACATGGTTGCTCATGTAGAACTTTGGGCAACTCACTGTACCCACAAATTATGAGTCCAATAACCTGTTGCTCCAGATGCTTGATTTCCTCAACTCCAGTGCCCTTGAAGTGAGGTCCACCTCACTCTTCTGATAGTGGCAGGAGGCAGTCAAATGCCTAGGCAGATGGGGTGGGTCCCCAGTGAAACTCCCCTTCAAACCAAAGACAGTTCAAAGCCTGAAAGCCAAGCTACAAGTCTTGGATAAATCCATGGACCAGACTGAGAACCTCTCTTCTCGTTTGGCATGCTTTCCTCTGATTGATCCCCACCTTTCACCCATTTTGCATATAGCTACCCTTTCCTAAGTGGTTTCTTGCACTGTGTTTCTTACCCACCTTTGATTGGTGCCTTTGTTTTAGCCTTTCTTGCATACTCATAAACCAATCAGCATGCACTCCCCCATTCTGAGCCCATAAAAGCCCTGGACTCTGCCACAGTTGGTGGGGACAGCCTGCCTTCAGGTGGGGGGAGCTACCCAACTTCAGGTAGGGGGCTGCCTTCTCTTGATCCCCTCTCTGCTGGGAGCTGTTACTCAGTAAAACTCTCTGCCCTGCTCACCCTTTGACTGTCATCATAATCTCATTCTTCTTGGACATGGGACAAGAACTTGAGACCTGCTGAATGTGGGTATGAAAAAGGCTATAACATCCCCTTTGGGGCTTCAGGGTCACTGGCATCCCTGTTCAAGCACCACCACATTCCCCTTGTTGGAATGCTGGTGCACAGGGCGGAGGCAGGTCAAGGCACCCCCAGCCTGGCCCAGCTGTGGGCTGAGTGTGGATCCTGTGGTGAACACGGGATCCAGCCAGAGTACAAACCAGGTGTGGCCTGGCTCGTCGAGTGGCCAGGGTGCCTCCTGTTGTGAGCCCAGGGCTGAGTGAGGCTCAGGTGTGGGTTTTGCCGGCTGTGGATATCTCCAGCTGGCCAAGCAGCACTGAAAAATTCCTGCATCACTGGTACTTGCTTGTAGGGTCATAATGAAAATCAGGGAGTGCATCTTTTAAGGGGACCCAGGTAAAGCATGTCCTCCAGTGCCAGCCACGTTTCACTCAGAAGAAAAAAGGGAAAACAGGCTGGGAGTAGTGGCTCGTACCTGTAATCCCAGCACTTTGGGATCTTGAGATGGGCAGATCACCTGAGGTCAGGAGTTTGAGACCAGCCTGGCCAACATGGTGGAAACCTGTCTCTACTAAAAATGCAAAAATTAGCTGGGCGTGGTGGCACATGCCTGTAATCCCAGCACTTGGGGAGGCCAAGGAGGGCATATCACCTGAGCTCAGGAGTTTGAGATCAGCCTGGCAACATGGCGAAATCCCATCTCTACTAAAAATACAGAAATTTGCCAGGAATGGTGGTGCATGCCTGTAATCCCAGCTACTTGGGAGGCTAGGCAGAAGAATTGCTTGGACCCGAGAGGCAGAGGTTGCAGTGAGCCAAGATCACACCACTGCACTACAGCCTGGGTGAACAGAAGGAGACCTCTCAAAGATAATAATAATAATAACTTTTAGGATATGGCTGGAGATTAAAAGTGATTTTGCTGATGAGAGGTGGTTAATTTGGGATGATGAAGAGAGGAAGTGATTAGGTCCAGTTGGGGCATTACAGATCAGAGTGGGGTAAGCACGTCTCTGATTATGCTGAGGACTGAAGCAAATGGGATGTGTGGTATAGTGGAATTGGTCCTTCCTTTGAGGAAGGAGGGCCATCAAAGGAAAGCTGTAGATTATTTAGCTGTTGAGCATGTAAGGTGTGGGACCTTCTCAGTAGCAACTGAGGCAACTCCCAGAGCCCTGGCAACCTCAGGGAAGGACCAGGGTGGCTGATCTTTCTTTCAGATGCCCTCAGGCAAAGTTCTTGGGGCTGGTTCCAGGTGTCCTCTTGTGGCAGCTAAGCATCTAGTCCAGGTGACTGATGTCTCCCTTGAGGGTAGGGAATGACTTCTTAGAGCAGATGGAAGGTTTCTCCAGCAGCTTTGTGTGTGACTCTCATATATGTTTTATTTTTTCCTGCTTATTTGTTTTCTGATTTGTGTGTAACTGAACCTTAGGCATTAAGCATTTTTCTATTCATATATTATTCACAATTATATTTTTATGTTGTATAATATTGCATGGTATAAAGCATAAAATGTGCTATTTTATTTCCTTATTGTTGGAAATGTATGCTATTTCCAAATCTTTGCAAATATATGTTACAATGAACATTTCTACATATATATGTATATTTTATTTGCTAAATTATTACTTAAGATAAATTTCCAGGGTCAGGATTATTGGATTGAAATATAGGAAAGGGACCAGGCGCAGTGGCTCACACCTGTAATCCCAGCACTTTGGAAGGCCAAGGCAAACGGATCAACTGAGGTCAGGAGTTCAAGACCAGGCTGGTCAACATGGTGAAACCTCGTCTCTACTAAAAATACAAAAATTAGCCAGGTGTGGTGGCAGGCACCTGTAATCCCAGCTACTTGAGAAGCTGAGGCATGAGAATCACTTCAACTTGGGGGTGGAGGTTGCAGTGAGCCAACATCACACCACTGCACTCCAGCCTGGGCCACAGAGCAAGACTCGATCTCCAAAAAAAAAAAAAGAAAAAAATATGTGAATGGTTTACGGCCATTTCCATGACCCATTAGTTTTAATCCTAAATACATCATCTAATGCAGAAGGAAGTTTAGTTCTCCTTTCATGGCTCCAGGCTGCTCCTCCTTCCTTTATCCACCTCCTAATATAGTTCCTCAATTTCCTCTGACCCCCAAACATGTCTCTTTAGCACCGTATTTCCTGTTACCAACAGCTGTCACTCTTAGCCTCCAGAATTCCACCAGTAAATTTAACAGATCTCTTGGATTTTTGTTGAAGCTGCCACGAAAATAGTCAGAAGAATTTGTTCTTGAATCTGATTAAAGCAGTGTAATAGTATTTGGAGGTATCAGGTTATAGAGGGAAAGATTTGAGAGCTGGAGAAACCTAAAATTGAATTTTAGCCTTAGCATTTCCTAGCTAAAAATGCTATAAAACATATGCAAATGTAGACATGTTATGAAAATTACCTTAAGCAAGTCTTTTATACTCTCTGAGCTTAATGTGTTGAACTATAAAATTACTCTAATGAGAACGCTTTCATATAATTGATGCATGAGATAAAGGCAAATGTGAAAATACCTTCTGGAACATGTCTGGTGTGTGAAAATTATTATTGCTGTTTCTCATTTTTTTTCTGTATTGACTGGCTTTTGGTCATTCTTGGATCAGATGACTCAGTGTTTGAGTCATTGGTGGTATCATTGCCTGTCAGTCAAAACTCCCAAGGAATACATCTGCAGTGGAACATATTTGCCTGTGTTACTTGCTGCAACAAAGGAGACCACACACCATGAGGAAATCAGGAAGCATTTCAGGATTTAAACCTGTTAGGTGGTTTTGGGGGGTGTCTGAAGAAGCAGGGTACTCTCCTGGGTTGGATACTGTCAGGAAGTAAAATTAAATCTATGCATGGACAACTTAATGTTTTACCTTGGAAGTGGGAGAAATGGAATGGAACTGAAGATGTAATTGGCGAAAAGGCAATGGCCACTCGTGAGCTGAGAGAGGAAGAAATTGCATTGTTTTTATAGTATTTCCAGTATTCTCGTGTTTGTATTCAGACATAACTTCAGAGGGATTTGACTTTTTTCCTACTCTATCATGGTCACACGTTGAATTGATCTGATGTAGGTGTTCTGTGAAATTGTTTATCTTCAGTAGAACATCATGGTCGTGCTGTTAGTGCAAGCTGACAGCTTTTGGATACGTTTTTCTTGTAATTCTTACTTTTGGTCAACAGCAGATGAAGTTAGGCCACAGGTAATTAATCTATGATATTGAGGTTTTTCACCATTACTGAGATTCTGCCTGTTGGGAGACTGTCTAGAGAACATTCTTTGTATTTGGACAAATTAGTACCTCTTACTCCATTTGTTATCAGATGAGTTGTTGAGTGATCTCACATGACAATGGTGATGTATTTTAGACTCAGTACAAGATGCATCAGTCAAGTGGTTTCTAGGCAATTATGAAAGACAAAATGACTATTCATTAGTTTTCCAAGGCCAGGGGCCCAGGTGACTAACCCCAGGCCATGAAAACATGAGTCAAAGTCCAAGTGGGTCTGCTGTAGGGATCTAAGCCATGACCCTTTCTTTCAGTCCAATCACAGACTATTCCATCTCTCCAATTGTACATATGTTGATGACACAGGGAGTGTTGACTATAGCATGAATTCCCTATTAACTAGTCCATTTAACTAGTTTATTTTGGGCCTTCACAGTAGAGGTAGTTTGTACTTAAGAGTAATACTGTATGGAGCACAGACCTTATTGAATGACAGTCACTTTTTTAAAAAAAAAAAAAAGGAAAACCAAACCCTCTACTTCTAATTTTACTAATTTTATATATTATTTATGTAACAATTTGCAGGGAAAGATAAATAAACCTTCATGGCTGTATTTACATATATGCATATAAATTAGCATAAAATTAAATGATAAATGTAAATATTTTAACTATAACTTCAAAATATAATTGACCTGTTGATATTTGTTAAAACAATATATATATAAAATACTATCTTAATACACTGTAATGCTTTTAACAATCAAATCACATCAATTATCTTATATACATATTCCTTTTTTCTGTAATTATTGCACTAGTCTACTCAACCATTTATATTATTATATGTAGCCAAATTAACCTGCTTTTATCCCCAAACAAAAAAGCAAACAAGAAAACTGTTGAATTGTTTTAAAATTTTGCCATTTTTAGCAAATTTAAGATAGCAAAACAAATGTAGGTAATCATAAAAGTCATTTGCATACCCTGTTAATTTGTAGCCATCTCAAGAAATAAGGGTAAATTAAAATTATATTTAGTCTTTTGAATCTTGTTCTTAGGAATTGTCTAGGTATCAAAAATTATTTCTTGATTCAATTTAATATTTGTCTTAGGTCTTAAAGTTGCTAAGGTTATGATTTTAATTAATACATTAGTTCTTTCTGTTTTGTTTGTAATATTAAAAGAAGTTTTATAAGATTAAATGCTTTAAAATAGCATCTATTTTTACGATTCTATTTAATTATACAATGACTCTCTTGATGAGAGGTTCCCATTACTAGTTCCTTTTCACAGATAAGTAAACTATCGACTAAGTATTTATAAACTATTTAGTATTGTTAGAAATCATTCTGAAGACTTTACAACTTAATTTCATTTTGATATTGTGTTTTATACATTGTGGCTATTTGGTCCGGATCTGGACAAACATTCCCTTTTGTAATTTCATTTTATGGATAAATTTTGTCACATATGCTAAAAGTGTAAGCGAGCTGCTTTGAGTAATATTAGAAAGGTATGTTTTGAAGAAAATAATTCACGTGTCTGTTTTTTAAAGCCAATCAATATTTATATAGGTATGAAACAATTTTTACACTTGCCTTTTAACTATAATATAGCATTTGGGCAAACAAAGACAACATTTAAAGTGAAAAATATTTTCTCTCACTGATACTCATACTACTCACATTATTGTTGAGGTTATAATGGACACATAATTAAAATTAAAATACAGTTTTTATACTCTCAAAAGGGCAAAATAAAAAGTAATTATATGTATAATCATTTTGTAAATGATATACTTATCATTTATAAATCTCTGGATATTATAGCTGCATCTAGCAAAAAATATAATCTCTTAAGCAGGAGCAGCTGCATAAACTAATAAGGAGAGAGGCACGATTAAATTTTTTTCTAAGCAAGACAAAGGAAAGTTCCAAGTTTCCTGGCGTAGTTTTGGAAGTGCAATAGTTGACTTGTTTGAAGACTGAATTAATTTTGCAGGCACACATTTCTATTTTCAGGCTGTGAAGTTTGGGGGAGGTCTTGACGGTGGTGGCAGTGGTGGGATCCATGCACGGCGTGTGGAAGAAGGAGAGAAAGGAAGAGAAAGAGGCAAGGAGGGAGGAGGAAAATGAGGCCTTGAAATATCATACACAGTTCCTTGGATGGAAGGAGGAGCGAGGTGAGCATAACCTGGCAGCTTAAGCGGAAGCTGAGCAGAGGGGAGGGGAGCTCTGTTTTCCAATTAGGGAGGGCCCCTTGCTGTGAGGGACCAGCTGTGCACCAGCGGCTCTGTTTGGAAGAGCTACTTGCTGTGGGATGACTCATAATTCCTCTTCTAGAAACTGGACCTTTCCCCTGACTTCAGCTGTCTCCTCTTGTTCTGGGCCTGGACTTCTCTTCCTACAGGTCCTCCTAAGGAACTAAGTTGACCCTCTTCAGTTCTCGGGGTTTTCTGGCAGGCTCCAAGTTCCTGCTGACATCCTAAAGGCTAATGCTCTATAAGGAAGATTCTAGCTCCACAGCCTCCTTTTTGTCGGAGCTGAGATTATCCGTGGTTTTGCATTTCTCCTGAATCAGTGGGACATGTTTTTCTTCCAGCTGTGTCTCTCTTTTAACGAAAGGTTGGATTTCAGCTGATTAATGTATCTGAAAAAAGAAAAAAAGGTATGAAAAGTCTACATATGGCTGCACATGTCCCAGACTCTCACAAGAGGGGGAGGAAGTCAAGGTCAGGCTCAGGTTGGGTGGGGTCATGGCAACCTCCCTACTCACTTTCCTAAGGACATTCTCCAAGGGGTGCTGCACAGAGGGCACCCTGAGCACCATCCTGTAGCCACGGCTTCACAAGGTCACACTCCACACGTACCACAGAGCCACCCCAAGGGTTCAGCCCGGAGTCCTCCTCAGCACCTGGGAAGCAGTGCAGAACCGTAGAACCTTGGGAGATGGCCGGACAGATTCAGCGAAAAGTACCTATGCTCTGGGACTGGCCAGCACATCCAGCTCCCTCCTTCCTCTCTCTCATAATTGCATACATGGGTACATAAGGAAACGCTGAAAGACTAGTACAGTGGACATCCCTATATGTACCTGCTAGATAGAACAGTTGACATTTTCCTATATTTACTTCTATCTCTGTCTCTTTTTTTCTCTGAAACATTTCAAAGTAATAGATGACTTGACATTTCAGCGTGCGTTTGAAAATCGTGTGCACATTGTACTCCATTTCCATATGTCACTGTGGTCCTTTGTTAAGCTCATTTTCCAGATGAGGAAAGGAACTGAAGCACAGAGAAAGAAGTTACACAGGAAATTGCAGACCTGAAATTTATATCCAGCTCTCACTAGCTCTGAAGATTGTGAGAAGATTTTACAGTGATCTCTCCGACTGCGTGGAGGAGAAGGCCGCAGGTCAGTGCCTATCCTTTCTCACGTCTCCCTGGCACTCCCTTGTCTCCCTTTTCAGCACAGAGGGCACTTCTCAGGTGTAGAATGATTGCAGGCACAAGATCTCTCTCAAATTGAATCATGTATTTTAAAATTTATATTTAATTTTATACTTATCTATCATTTATGGCTATATTTTTGCATATGCCCATGTTTTATATTTTAAAAATGCATGGCAGTGGATATAAAGAAACTTTTTATACACATCTACTTAAATAAAAGTGTTATAATATTGGTAGTACATGGCAGAAATTATAGCAAAAATTGTCCCTTTGATAGGTGAATTATTCAAGCTTTAGCAATAATGTTGCAAACTCTGTGAAAGGGTTGCTGTGGGTATACACCACCCTTCCTCTGGCCGGGTCTGAACTTTAGGGGGCATTTCTGATTCCTAGTCCTGTCCTTGGCTGTCTTGGCTGTCTAGGGGAAGAGGAGAACCAGTCATTGGTGTGGCCTAAGTCGAAGGAGGAACTGTGGTGAGTCTTCTCCCTGACCCCCTTTTCCCACCCATCCTGACATATTTCTTCTGTTTTGCATTCCCAGTGCCAGGGACTGTTTGTGTGTCAAATACGACATAAAATGGATATCTTTCCCATGAGCAAAGGAAGAGGTGGGGGTGCTTACCCATCCCTAAGCCTTGGTTGCTTTCTCAGACACATTCTAAATAGCAAAGCAGTCTCCTCCAGGGGACCTTTAGAGGATGGGCTTCAGTGGCCCTCTGTGCAGCTCTCCTTGGTGGTGGTCCTTGGGAAGGTGAGCAGGGAGGGACTATGACATCTAAAGTCCAGGCTCTGACTACTTCTGTCCCTGGGAATCAGTGACATGTGAAGCTATGGCTAGATTTTTCATAGATCTCTTATTTGTATTCAAAAAGCATTCAGAAGTTTTTATTTAGCTAAAAGTTGGCTTTATGTTAAGCGGGAGGCAGTTGGCACAGAACTTGTCTATTGATTAAGGAAATATGTAAATCCTTGACAACCTCATGTCTGATAAAAGGGAATATGAGACACTGGAGTCTCCTCTAGGGGGCGCTAACCTCCAGAATCAGCTGTGGGGAGCCACGTGCAGGAAAGCCACCCTGAGTTGAAGAGGACTCACTGAGTGGTGCGCCCCCTGCCCCTGGCCATCTCTCCAAGGCAAAATGAACAGGCACGGTACTCACAGTCCTGCGCACTGGGAGGGTTTCCTTTCACTACTGCCTTTCAGAGCTGTCTCAAAGTGGGGTGGTAGTGCTGCCGCCCACTCCCAGATGGTGTCTAGATATCAGGCCGAACTGCCTGTCCAACAAGCCTGTCAAGTGATCATAGAGGAATCCTCATGAGGCCATACACATGGGTTGAGGGAGAGGATGCAGTGTAGCAAGGGAAGGGGGCCGGGGTTTCTGAGGGCCAGTGTAGCCAGGACGAGGGCAAAGGCACCTGCTGGAGCTCAGTCCATATATAACACTTCTGCTTGACGATGGAGCACTGCTTCATATTCTTAACTTTATGGCTTGGAGGGTTAGAAAGCACCCAACACGTGACATGGAGCTTAAGGCACATGGTGATGGGTGGCCCATGGGCAGTTTTGTCTCTACTAAGGCCCAACAGAAATCTAAAAGCTGTTTCTCTAAAGGAGAGTAGTTACCAGCAGAGAGCCACAGAGCTTCCGCCAAATCCTGTGAGTCTTCACTGTGATTTAGCCTAGAGAGGTCTGCCAAACACTCCACGCAGAATCCCTATTTGCCATTGACCCTTCAAGCAGCGTCAGTTCTTATGGGTTCTATGTCCCAAGTGAGAAGCCTGTACATCAGCCTGGACCTGTTGCAGAACTCTCTCTTGTGGGTCTCACTCAACACTGGAAGCTTTGTGGCTCACTAGGTAGATGAGTTGGAATAATATGCCTGAATGAGGAATATATTGCCTGCCAAACCCAGAGAGGTTCACCAGGGGTCGTGCCTCTTTCTTAGTGGTAGGAGGGGCCAGATACAGCAACACACTCTTCAGTATGGAAGGAATATGCCTCAGATCATTAAATCCTTCAATTTTTCACAAAGATAGAAAGCTTCTGTTTTTTTTGTAGCATAATACTATGATTTTTTGTTGTATGCTGTTGTATGCTATTTGTGGATTTTTTGGTGATATCTTACCAATGCAGCTAGAAGTCATTTCTTCCTTTTCATCAGATCCAGTCAACATAACATCATCAATGCAATTGACCAGAATAATGTTCTGCAGCATGAAAAATGTGATCAACATCCTATACACTAGGGCTGGAGAGTTGATATATCCCTGCAATAGGACGGTGAAGGAAAATTGCTGGCCTTCTCAGCTGAAAGCAAATAACTTTTGATGATGTCTACTAACAGTAGAGAAACAAAGAGTATTCGCCAGACCAATAGCAGCATGTCAGGTGCTAAGGGATGTGTTGAAACTATGTTTGGAATATGCAATTGAAACTATGTTTGGCATAACAGCAATTGTGTCACCATCTGATTAAATTTCTGATAATTGGAGTCACCATCTGATTAAATTTCTGATTATTCACTGCCATTCTGTTTACTGCACAGGTCAAATCAGTGAGTCAAATGGGGATTGGTAAGAATCATCACCTCTGATCTTTCAGAGGTCCTATGGTGGCACTAATCTCTACAGCCCCTCCAGGAATGAGACATTGCTTTTGGTTTCCTTAAATTCTTATGGGTAGAATCTGTTTAGTGGCTTTTACTTGGATTTTTCTATTATAATAACCTGAGCATACAAATCAAAATGGCTGCCACTTCACTTTCACCCTCCAAATCTCATGTAAAACATCTCTTGAGGCCCACCTGAACCAGAAAGGAATTCTGGGAAGCATGGCTCAGCCTAGCCAAGTTGATATTTTAAACCGTTTCAAACTATGGTCATCTTTACACTTTACACTTCAGCATGCTTTTGCAAATGATGACATTCTACTGTGTAATTGTATGCCGTTGTGGTACTGCGTTATTTTATTTCACAGATAAGGAAACTGAAGCGCAGAGATAAGAGAACTTGTCCAGGTTACACAGTAAGTGGGGGAGCTAGAGTTTATATCCAGCTCTGTCTAGCTTCAAAATCTGTGCTTTCTTTTCCTTCTTTCTTTCTCTCTTTCTTCCTTTCTTTCTTTCCTCCCTCCCTCCCTCCCTCCCTCCCTGCCTCCCTCCCTCCCTCCCTCCCTCCCTCCCTTCCTTCCTTCCTTCCTTCCTTCCTTCCTTCCTTCCTTCCTTCCTTCCTTCCTTCCTTCCTTCCTTCTTCAGAATCTCGCTCTGTCACCCAGGCTGGAGTGCAATGGCGCCATCTCAGCTCACTACAACCTCCGCCTCCTAGGTTCAAGTGATTCTCCTGCCTCAGTCTCCCGAATAGCTGGGATTATACGTGCGCACCACAACACCCAGCTAATTTTTGTATTTTTTAGTAGAAATGGGGTTTCACCATATTGGCCAGGCTGATCTTGAACTCCTGACCTTGTGATCCACCCACCTTGACCTCCCAAAGTGCTGGGATTACAGACATTAGCCACTGCACCAGGCCAACCTGTGCTCTTTCTACTGCACTCATGCCTTAGGGTGTGCACATCTAATGGTATTTACAGGGACTTCATAGTACAATGGTATGCTACATGGACACAATGTTCAATCATATAATGAAAAAACATAAGTTTTTTTTATTATTGTGTCAATGAAAAAGTCTCAAGTTAGAACCAGTATGTTTCTAATACCTGTCACCTCACTAACCTTTTCTTTGTTCTTTTTTTTTCTGAGACAGAGTCTCACTCTCTCACCCAGGCTGGAGTGCAGTGGTGTGATCTTGGCTCACCACAACCTCTATCTCCCAGGTTCAAGTGATTCTCATGCCTCAGCCTCCCAAGTCGCTGGGATTACAGGTACACACCACCGCACCTGGCTATTTTATTTTATTTTATTTTATTTTATTTTTTTAGTAGATGGGGTTTTGCCATGTTGGCCAGGCTGGTCTCAAACGCCTTACTTCAGGTGATCTGCCCACCTGGGTCTCCCGGAGTGCTGGGATTACAGGCGTGAGCCACCGCACCCAGCCAACTAACACTTTCGTATCTCACTTTAAAAAAAGAAGGATCAGACCCTAGTCTTGGCAGTAACATACATACGCGCGCGTGCACACACACACACCCCATACACACACACACACATACACACACACACAAAAACACTTAGTTAATTTTGTGGTAGGAGGTTTGCAATTCCTTTTGAAGTAAATTTATTTGAAGAGAAAAGGAAAAAAGAAAAGTAACTTTCTAAAAGAAGAGCAACCAGTTCATGTACTGGCAAAAGTTGTATCCAAAGTTGTGAATTCTATATGTGAATTACGTTCAGAATGTTTTTCTCAACCATGCATCTTTTCCTGGGCAGGAGCACTTTACTTGAGAAAGAAAACATGTTTTATCCATAGTTTCAGTAATGAGGCCACTAAAATATTAATTTTCTGAGCATTCTTAAACATAACTGAATCAGCTTCAATTTGCCTGGATAGATAGACATTTTAGTGGTTTATAGCAAAATGTAATAAACTGAATAACTGTAGGCTTTAATGTAATCTCACACAATCCTATTACATCCCAATTACTTATTTGACATTTTAAGGATAGTTCCTGCCTAAATACACACAATCCTGCAATTCCGAATGTCTTCTTCCTGTGTTGTTCCAAGGCAATCAATAGATCAGAAAGAATTAGTATCTTGCTGTGTCCTCCATTTGTAATATACACTGTCCCAGGAAGGCCTAATGCATCCCTCCCAGGCATAATAAATGTTTAGTGAGCACTGTTTGTGATAAGCTCTCCACTTTTCATTCCCACGAGTTTCAGGGCCATCATAACATCTTTTATTTCCCTTAAAGTAATGAACAAACCCAGGATCAATCCTACTGCTGCTTACAATGCATCAGAAAGGTGGGAGGGTGGCTGAGTTCAGCATAGCTTTTACACTGTAAAGAAGCTCCTTTTGAAAGTTAAACTTCAGGGACTTGGGGAGAAGGGTGAGAGAGGGGGTGAGGGATAAAAGATAAAATAGGGTGCAGTGAATACTGCTCGGTGGTGGGTGCACCAAACTCTCACAAATCACCACTAAAGAACTTACTCATTTAACCCAACACCACCTGTACACCCATAACCTATAGAAAAAAAATAAATAAATGAAAAAGAAAGTTAAGTGTATAATGTATTTAGAGGTAGATGACAGGAGCAGTGAGTCTATATAGAATTATGCAGATTGAGATCTGTGGATAGAACAATCAACATGAGGTTCAGTTGTCCCCAGTCACTTCCACATAAGTGATGAGTTTGCTAAATGATTATGATATTATATGATTATGAGTCAGTGAATGTACTTATCCAAAATTAAATAAACTACCATTTATTGAACATCTATTATGTAACAGGTTCAGAGCTGTATTTGTGGTAAACAAAGCAACATAAAATGTATCTGTCCCTGGAGACTCTTGGTTTAGATAGGATGAAAAGTAGACTAAATAAATCATAGTATAATGCGATGGGGACAAAAATAAAGGTGAGTGCCAGTTGTGAAAGTGGCACCAAAGAGGTTGTGATGGGCTCTACTTGGAGGAGTCAGGGCAGAGGGGCATAAGTGGGGTCTTGAACACTGAGTGGGAGTTATAGAAGCTTGAAACAAAGGTGAAGGGAAATGGAAACTGATTCCAAGCAGTAGGATTCATTTTAAAATGTAATGAAGTCTTTCTAAAATTGGTACTATCCTGGAAAAATAACTGTGTTTGAGGTTTGTTAGGGCTGCACTCATTTGCAGCTTGCAGGAAGCCCAATTAACAGCACTTTCAAAAGGTAGATAGTTATTTATTTCAGGCAACAAGAATAGTGATTGTAGGCCAGCTGGGTCTGGGATGATGGTTTAGTGGTGCATTTGTAAAGTAGGCTCTTTTCATATTTGCCCTCCACACACAGTAGAGTCCAGCCTTAGCCCTCGCATTTGTGTTTCTTGGTCAAAGATTGCTGCTGAGGCTTTGGGCTCATGTTCACATCACAATCAGGAAGATGGAAGAAGAAATGAAAGGGAGAAGGGATGTCACAACAGGTCTTTTCTTTCTTTTTTTTTTTTTTTTAACAAAAAGAAAAAAAAAAAGCTTTCCTGAAAGTTTCTTCAAGAGATTTCAACTGATGTCGCTGGCTAGAAAGAACTTGGCCATCCCACTTAAGCACAAGGGAGTCTGAAAACCAAGAATGTTAGCTTTCCAGCCCATCACTGAGGAAGGAGAGAGAAAGAGAAAGAAAGAGAGAGAGAGAGAGAGAGAGAGAGAGAAAGGAAGAAGAAGAAGAAGAAGAAGAAGAAGAAGAAGAGGAAGAAGCAGAAGAAGAAGAAGAAGCAGAAGCAGAAGAAGAAGAAGAAGAAGAAGAAGAAGGAGGAGGAGGAGGAGGAGGAGAGAGGAGAGGAGAGGAGAGGAGAGGAGAAGAGAGGAGAGAAGAGAAGAGGAGAGAGAGAAAGAGAGAGAAGTTGTGGGGGGACCTGTGGCTTGTTTGTGAATAGCTCGTTCACAAAGTATAGCAAAAGGTCTTGTGAGACAGTTTTAAGCCAAAATCAATAATTTTAGCACTAAATGTTTAGGTCTTATATTAGTCAAGGTTCTCGAGAGGGACAGAACTAGTGGGATATATGTATATATGAAAGGAAGTTTATTAAGGAAAATCAGCTCACATGATCTCAAGGCAAAGTCCCACCATAGGCCATCTGCAAGCTGAGGAAGAAAGAAGTTGGTAGTGGATCAGTCTGAGTCCAAAAGCCTCAAAAGTAGGGAAGCCGACAGTGCAGCCTTCAGTCTGGCCAAAGGACCTAGATCTCCCAGCAAACCACTGGTGTAACTCCAAGAGTCCAAAGGCCAAAGAACCTGGAGTTTGATGTCCAAGGGCAGGAGGAATGGGAGGAAGCATCCAGCATGGGAGAAAGATGAAAGCCAGAGCTCAGCAAGCCAGCTCATCCCACCTTCTTCCACCTGCTTTGTTCTAGCCTGGCTGGCAAACAAGTGGATGGTGCCCACTCACACTGAGGGTGGGGCTTCCTCTCCCAGTCCACTGAATCAAATGTTAATCTCCTCTGGCAACGTCCTCACAGGTACACCCAGAAACAATACTTTACCAGCCATCTATGCATCCTTCAAGTCAATCAAGTTGACACCCAATGTTAACCATCACAGGTCTAAACATCTAAAGGAGGTAAAAACATCTTCTGAGTTCTTCATTTTGTAGATGAAATAACTCACTTGCTCAGGATCACACAGGTAGCTAGTGATACGGCTGGAACTTGAATTCAGGTCATCTGGTTTCCAGTCCTGGTTTTTTTCTCATTGTATGACTCCGTTCTCACACTGCTAGAAAGAGCTACCTGAGACTGGGTAATCTGTGAAGAAAAGAGGTTTAATTGTCTCATAGTTCCACAGGCTTACCAGAAAGCATGATTGGGAAATCTTAGGGAACTTACAGTCATGGCGGAAGGTGAAGAAGAAG